TGCAATCGCTTGCAGCACCACAGGAACAGGACAGTCTCTTTTGCACAAGGTCCAAGCTCAGCGACTCGTAGGAAGGTTACCAGGAAGCCATGGCTGGAGTCCAGATGTGTCCCCTACTGTCCGACGATTTCGGCTGCATGTATACCTGCCCTATGTAGATATATAGTTTGCTTATGTATGCATTCATGGATGCATGCATGCATGTATGTGTTCATTTATGTATGTATTCATTTATGTATGTAAGTAAGAAAGTAAGTATGTATGTATGTATCTATGTGTATAGACTTATTTCGGATACACGTATGTATGCGTATGTGCGCATGTATGTATGCCGTACATCTACACACAGTATACTGTCTTATATACTGCTGCATTGTAAACACGACGAGCTTTAGGTATAGAAGGAGATGATGCAATGGGGATGGACCCTCTGCACCGAAAGCCAGGACGACCGGCCGATAGAAGGTGCCCCCACTCGGCGGTGTGACTTTATCTGAAGCCGTACCAGGCGGCGATGAGCAAAGGAGATGACTCAGGGTTAGGACTACAAGGTTGATAATGAAGGTCTGGCGAAATGAGTTCAGAGTCTGGCAACACGTAGAAGTAGCTGCTAGTAGTGATAGCGCAGTTTCTTTTTCAATACAGGGCCATTGAAAATCTTCATGGGCATGATATGATACGAAAATACATTTGTTCGGAATTGCCACGATGACGATTGTACAGCACTAGTTTATCTCGACGTCTAATGATACACCGAGAACGCCACCAGCAACAAGAATCCGATTGGCTACGCACTTGTGCGCAGGCCCGTTTCGTCTTCGCTGGTCAAACTGGCGGCTTCGACCTATGTGTGAAATTTGTGACGGTGCCCCCAGCTGACGTCGGGGTTGGGAGAAGGAACCACGAGAGCAGAAAACGCAAAACCCTTCAGAAATCGATATCAATGCCATCATCAGCCGCATCATCATCATCATCATCAACAACAGCAACGCCATCATGATTAGAATCATCATCGCCAGAGCCGGCACAAGCAAAAGAGTAATCAAATTAAGTCACAATGGAAGTTGGTGTGACAATCACTCATGCAGCATCTTCATTGGCACTACAAGCAACTGTCATCCCACAAGCAACCGTCATCGGCATCGGTTCAAAAACTAATCAGCATCAATATCATCTCCGTTGCTATCGTGACCACCCGGATCAGACCCAACCCCCGAAGTCAATGAGAGCCTTGTGCACCTTCGCAGGACCTTGCAAGGTCACGTTTAGACGTTGCACCCGCCCTCCCTCGTAAAATGCAGAGGTGGGCTTAAGAAGTTTCAGCACGTCGGCGTACAGTCCAAAGGTATGCCGGTCAAGAATACTTAGAACGGTTCGAAGTGGAAGACGCTGCAGTCAAGAAGCCTTTTGGCGTAGAGTTTGTACAGGGGCAGCCGTTTGGGTAGTTTTGCTATATCACCTAGTACTTGTACCTGAAGTGCACGTGTGTGAAAAACCCTCAGCTATACAACTGTGAGACACATTGTTCTAGATCTGGTACGTTGCCTGGCGTTTAAAGCTTATCAGTGTTCACCATCACACGGACCGCTAGAAGCCTAGAAGCAAATCTCGTCTTGAAAAGCAACCCTCGTATGAACTTGTATTGCCCTATCGAGCACCATGGCCGTTTGGTCTGCAAAGAGGGCTTGCCTCGGCCTGTACACAGTGAATGAGCTTGGCTGCAGCTTGGCCGCTTGCTCAAAAGCAGCAGAGTGGGCTGACTAACTGAAAGCACTGAATCTCGCATGGTCGGTTCAACATGCAGAAGCATCTATCCAGCTTTGGCATGATATCACTCGGTGCAAGGGGCAAGTCGGCGAGGCAGTGGCAGGGCATTGACCACGTGCACGTCCCGGATCTGTGGCAAACAAGATCAAAGTAGGGATGTGCACAAATCGTTCATGCACCTGCATGCTGACGAGTGTCTCCCCGCTTATCTGGAGAACTTCTGTAAGCTCCTGATGCTTCATTCGCACAGCGGCGGGATGCAGGACATCCGAAGAGGGTGCTGCATGTTGCTTCTTGCAATATGCCTTCACAACCCAGCCTCAGGCATCAACGCCGGATGCGCCGAGAAGCAAAAAGCAAGTAATTACATTCTTCGCTCTGACAGGTTGAGAATTTGTTGTGGCAAGGTGGTGTTTCCCTGTCCGCATCAACGAGCGTTTCGTTGTTACTTTCAGGAAAAGTGTTTTGGTATGTTTTCGTATTATGTGACTTGCTCTTTGTGCGAATGGGTCTCACACGTATTCATACATGCATGCATGCATGCATACGTTATAATGCATACACGCATACACACAGACACACGTGCACCCAGCACAAAAACGCATAGACCCGCCCACATACGACGCACGTACATACATACATACATACATACATACAGACAGACGTACGGACATGCAGACGTACATACAAACGTACAGACCTATACAGACGTACAGACCTATACAGACGTACAGACATACAGACGTACGTACATACATACATACATACATACATACGTGCAGAACAGATGTGTACGCATAGTTATATAAACATGAACAAAGCTATTTGTAGATACATATATATATATTGTTATTTATTTGTTTATTTCTGTATGTATGTCTATGTGAGTGCGCAGGGCCCTGTTTGCCCTTCGTGGCATTGGCCGGTGTGTGCTCATGCGTTGGTGGATGTGAGATGTTCGTTGTCCATTTCTGCCCGTCCGCATTAACAGTCGAAGTCATGGCACAATGCATGCTGGGTGCGTGCATGCTGGGTGCGTGTTTCCATACGCACACGTATATGTACACACACATATACATATACATATATATATATACACATGTAACAATGAGAGCACGGTCGTATACCGTCTACTGAAGGAGTGGGTAAGCAACAACGAGTACTCCCATACGCACACACACACACATCCACACATAGGTAGAAAATGAGTTGGGTTTTACATAGGCGCCTAATTTTGGAAATCCGCACAAGACGAATCAAAGTCAGTCCCAGGCTCTTCGCATCAACTTCGTTGCGAACTCTGACAATGCAAACACAAAATCAAAACACAAGTTGTCGCAAACTCTGGAGCTGCTTCAACTTTCACCCTGATGTCCCGGACATCTGCTCAGCGTGTCTGAATGGCAAGCACCAGGAGGACATTGATGGTCACCTCGGAGAGCAGCCCCGATGTTCTCGAATCCAGGCCAGCGACCATGGTTCGCCGCTTGCCAAAAAAGCGAAGGAGTTGCAGCAAGGCGGCTATTTGGTCGAAGTCCAGCCTGGAGCAGCAGGGCGCGTCACTCTAGTCTGGATCCGTTACGTCTGCGAGTGTCGGAACGATCGCGAAAGCGTTTCGAAGGCGAGTGCTTGGCTGGCAGGCCCTGGACACATGCCTCTAGTTCGGGGAGCACCGACGAGAGCAGCAATGTCATGAACATCAGCATCCCAAATAGCGGCAAGAACAGTTTCCAGGAGAAGAACCCAGAATATCAGGAATAGCAAAAGCAACAACACTGCAACCCTTTGAGCTTGGTGGATACGTGCGCCAACTCAACCCTGGCTGCGTAGATTTGCGCATGCGCCTCATATCGCCTCATGCTCTCTCAACTCACTGTTGGGATGCCCGAGAGACGCTTAAGGGGTTTCATTTAAGTTACCATAATGGGCCAGTGGGGATCTACAGTAAATAATATTTTCCTTTATTATGGCAACTTAAGCAAAACCCCTATGCATCCCATTTGCTGTGCCCCAAAACCCCTGCAGGGATGTCCTTTGCCCGGATCCCGGAAGCCGTCTTTTTGACTCAAAGCTGAGTGCCTCAAAAGAGGCGAAGCTCAGTAGCCACTGCGAGGCCCCTTGTATTTGGCGCGTGGGATGTGGCTTCAGAGTGCTTACTGTGTTTGGTCTCAGGCCGTTGGGGCTTGGGGGTTTTGGGATGAATTGAATGGCGGCCGTTTTAGCTCACGGCCTGCCTTCGAGAGATCCGGAAACCTACGCACAAGTTTGCAACAGTCGAGCAATAACTGCAAAGCCGACTCCTGCTCTCAAGTCGGGTCTAAATTTCGTGAGTAGGGCCCTAGGTACAAATAATTGCTTTGAACTGGTGGGGTCTCGCACGTCAACATCATGGCAACATGAACCCGTGGACCACTCTCTTCCGCCAGGTCTCAGAATGCCAGAAGAGGCGACAACAGCGAAATTGCATGGGGGGCTAGCCTGCCGAATCTGCAACACTTCCGCGCATGGCAGCTGGGCACCGATACCCTCTGAACAAGCCTTGCAAGTTTTGTGTTGCTTGAAGCCCGATGGTGCAAACCAGAAGATAATCAATGCACTTCACAAATAAGACTTACTAGGTCCTCCGTCTCCTCCAGCCAATCCAAAATAATACCGTTCACCTGAACAGCCGCGAACACGAAAACCTACACACCGGTGCCAGGACGAGAATGCTCTGAAGCCGAATCGCGCAACTGCGGAGGATGAGTTTCTTCGCCCATGCCTGGGTATTGCCCTTGCCATCCTTGCCAGATACAATGAAGGGATTGCTATATGCAATACAAGTAATGCTTGCAGGCAATTGGCTCTGCTACTCAGTCTTTCTCGGATGCTTGATGCGAGTAGCAGTCGTTGCAAGAGTTGTCGGCGTTGTAGTAGCAGCAGCGGGAGGAGGAGTAGTAGGAACAGCTTACGTGCATCGGCCTCGAGGGTTTGAATGCGCAGCAGAGACGCCGTCTATTCCGAGTCTAGGCCTTTGCAGCTGAACCCACTGCATGCCTACACCTACCAAGAATATCTGGTTTCTCATCCAGAACATGGAGCGGCTTGAATCGCAACTCCAGAAATTTTCTATCGGGTAACGATTGGACGGAGGAAGATCATAAGTTCAGGAAGTACCTAACCATTCAGAGGCCTGTGCCGAAGTACTGGTCACTGGTCATCGAGACGTAAATCCAACAAGCATTGACACTCAGGGCATCCTGGCACCGGCGCATTCTACCGAAATCCTCTTCGCGAGAAGGATCGATGCCCTGCCTCTTTGTTAGTGGATGTTTGGATTCAGCGGTGTTGAGCACAGAACCACGCAACCCAACACCCGCAACTCCCGAGAACTCCTGATCCTGGATCCAAATGCTCCTCATCAGCGAAAACGGCGCAAGTCCGAGGTTTCGGGTTTTTGGGGTTTGGGGCCTTAGGGGGCGTGAGATTCACGGACTCCTTTTGTCCATCCCATATTGCCGGTCTTGACCGCTAGTGAAGTCAATCATCAAAGTCGCGATGACCGTTGCAGTCAAGATTATTTCGGTAAAGGAGGGATACGCATAATCAACCGATGCTTCACACGGATTCTGTTCATGCAATGGAAACTTGTCGATGTCAAGTCTATTGCCAGGGCAGCCATCCAGTCGGGACCGGCTGGGAACAAAGCCCCGACATGTACTTCAGCCTCGTTGTGCAGCAGGCTGACAAGCCCATCCTCATGTCGCTGGGAGAGTGCGCTGACGGCTCGTCGGTTTAGGCAGCAGTCGAGTGCTTTGTGTTGGTGCGGGGTGGGGGGGGGCTTGTCATGCTTTCCAGGTATGAGTTCAACTGCCTGGACGACGCCTTGAACTCCTGGCACTGCTTTTGCCTTATCACTGGCGAATCATGCAACAGTCAGACAGGATGTTCTTGAGAGTGCTTCGCTTCGGTTTCCAGTTGACAAGCCCACAGACTCTCACATTTCCTCCCCAGCATCATGCGTGTTAACGCCTCGCCGCATGAGGTGTCAGTATGCCTGAGTCCATGTTCCGGAAGACGGTGCCGGTGACCCAGGCACACAAGGTCTGCCTTGGGTGTCGCTAGCTGCGAGTTTTCCCATAATCCCTCTCGGTTTTGCATCTGGCAAGGCACGTTCACGCAAAGTAGGACGCGGACTTCTGGGCCTAAGGCTCGGAAAGGCAGCTGCCGATCCAGCAGCCGCCCTCGAAGCCAAGCAGAAGGCGGCCCTGCGACGGCTGGATCGCGTCACTGGCGCAGGACTTAGATGCTACAGGCTGGCCCTTTCTTGCAGGTCACGTGTTGCTGGAGATGGGGTTTTCGGATGGCTTCTACTTCTGTTGTAGAGCAGCTGATGAATGCAGATCCACGTTCAATCAACTGTACCTCCCACGCATATTCTGCACAATGTTGTCAGTCAGTTGCGCAGGCCTTGGCCATGTGCAGCGCATCCAATCTCGAACATAGGCCCTCTACCCCGTCTCCAGAAGTTCTATGCCCTCAGCTGACACGATGTGCCTCCTAAACCTCAAATCTCAGGGTTTTCATTCTGCAAACCCAAAAACCCGAATGTGTCTAAACTGCTTGGCCTTCAGCTCCACGAAAATCGCAGCGAGGTTCCTATGAGTACACTGTCACCGTGCGAAAATCGCAGTTCGCCGCAGCCTCGACAACTTCAAGGGCAGACAACGGCACATGGCAGGGTTTAGGGCCGGCAATGAATGGTGATAGATGGTGATAGCAACCCCACATGGCCCATATGGCTCAATCTCAATCTAAATCACTTTTATAATGGAACGATAACCACTTCTGTTTTACAGACTAGATGACCTCCTTGCAGGGGGCGATCTGTTGTGCATAGAAGTTTTGTGATAAGTTTGTCATAAGCGTTGTGGGCTGTGGTTATGGACATAGCTATCCTTTTCGGAATTATCGAATTCCCCTGAGTACTTGAACACCGATCCCCGACGCAAGGCATGCATAGGAAGCAGCGAAGCTTCAATAGGAAGCAGCATTTCTTTTTGACCACCGAAAAGGCAGAGTCTACTATACCCCTAATCCTGTTCCAAAAGGCTTGTCAAGCTCTTATTCGTCCCAGTAGCGCTAGTAGAGAAGGGACTGAGGGAGTCGTTTCAGAGCATGTGGCCAACAGGCCGGTTATCGGGTAGTCTGAGTTCCTGAACGTCGCACGTTATGAGGATGCCAGTAGGGATCGGTTTGTTGATTTGCAAAGGGCCTGGGAAGCTGCTGTAATCTTGGTTTATGTACTTCGAGTTTCGTTGTGTTTTGGCTTCGTCGTTCGAACCACCAAACCCGAATCTTGCCACAAGAGAGAGGCGTAGATGCTTAGATGCACACGCCACACTTAAGACAGTCACTTCAGGTTCCTCCAAAGAGCCATCGCCGCCACGCTGGGCCAATTAGTCCTCAGGAGAGCATGCCAAGCAGCGTTGGGTTTTAGTTTTAGTGCTCGGTGCCTTGGGGTGCTGTTGTGAGTTCAGGCAGGGGGTCATTGCAAGGTCCTCTCTGCAAGTTCACATGACAGGCCGTTCAGCTTGAAAAGCTCGTGGTGGATGTCGTGCCAGAGATGGAGGGCTACAGGCGGGAAGATTCAGGGCCGGTCTGCGTGGAACCCTGAGCACCGCGAAGAATCCACAGTTTGCAGCTCCGTGCTTGACAGGCTACGCGTTGAGTACGTTGGGGATGGTCTGGCCTTGGTCTCAAAGGTGGAAGCCGCCTACATACATTTCATCCCGCCATCAATCGACAAAGGTCGCTGCATGGAACCGTGCCAACCCATGCTTCGCCGTGGCAGCCTCAGCCATCGCTCCAAAGCGTGTGTGCTTTTCACAGACAGGCATCGCTGTCCAAATCCCCAGCGTAGAGTGCAGAGCTCTGATTGAGCTCCTGTCCTTTCTCGCCTGGACCATCAGGATGGTCGGAATACACAGTGTCCTGGCAGGTCCGACCCGGGGACTACATTGTCAAGGTGGATGCCTGGCCGGCCTGTTGGTTTTTGGGGTGGCCGCGGCGACGGCTGATGATGATGATCATCATCATCGTCATCATCATCATCACCATCATGGTGGGTTTCCCGATGCCGTTGCAACATTGAGAAAAGTGCGGAAGAACCCCATTTGCCCCCACCTATTCCTTTCTTACCCTCCCTCGCCCTGCCTCGCCCAACCCCCTTGCTTTGCCTCGTCCAGGCTTCTCGACCACACCCAACGTTTGTCCCATTTGTTCAGGACCCCCTTTGCATACCTCACCCTGCGCTCCGTCCCGCCCATACCTCCTGGCATCCCCACCTATTCCTTTCTCTACCCCTCTTCCCCAGTTAGAAGGAGTTCTGCTTTCGATTCCTTAGTTTTGCACCGGCATGTGTCATTCGTGCAACTTGCAGTCTTGTTCCGCGTCCGGTACCGTTGTGCCGCAGGAGCAGACAGCTTCAGCATCGTATGCATGCATCACCACTGTGCAGACAACTTGTGACAATCTTCCTGTGCATGTCGTTGACATGTTAGAGACAGCGTCAGCTGGTTGAGGACAGGAGCAGAAAGTGAGTTGCTTAATGGACAACGTCTTGTCTGACTCTGATGCATGTGAACTTGTTAGTACGATGGTCATGATGATGATGATGATGATGACGACGATGCTGATGATGGTGATGCTGGTGATGGCGATGGTGCTGATGACGAAGAAGGTGGGGGTGCCGGTGCCGGTGCCGGTCTCGTGGTGGGCTGGTGGGCGTGACGGTGGCGAAAGAGATGCTGCTGTGGCTGACTCGGTCTGGCAACGCTGACAAAACCTTGAGGGCTCCAGTCTGAACCGGAGTCCCCGGGGAGGTTGTTGTTACTTACTGTGGAGATGGACAGCAATTCCGAGAGAGGTGGCACCAATGACATGGGCATGGGTATATTATGTGGATTCCTACAAAAAAGACCGAAATTTGCGAAAGATGTCGTGTGCAAATGCCGCTTCTCTGAAGCACATGGCAGGGCAAGCGGATGCCTCTGCAAGAGGCGATTTCCTCGGCCGAGGACAAGAATGAAAGAGCTTCCGGCAAGTGGAGACTTCAACCTGCAGCGAGCGTTGACGCCTTTGTGCGGCAGCGCAGTGTGAGAAGTTCATGCCACAAGAAGTTGTGAGAAATAACATCACAAAAACAAGGCATCTGTTGTTGTCACTACAGGATGTGCTGCCGATCGTGTTTGCTGGGCAAATATGTTCGCAAGACATCGGGAACAGTATCGCTCGGCAGGATGTAGTCAAGCTGACAATGCAACGGGTGCCGGATGCCCAGCTGCGTCTTCGAGAACTGTCAGCACCCCGTTCTGAGACTGCTTCTGGTGGCATGCTTGCATGGCTGCATCTACAATGGCTGCATTCGCAAGCATGGCTTTGCATCCATATTGCCACTGCGAGAAAGCAGCATGGTGCAGTAGTACCAGGCCCTAGTACAAAGCCATATGTGCGCTTGATTCTACCGCCGACTACAGCTACAAGACTCTGATCCACGATTCTTTGAGAACCTCGTGTGCCGTTGACTCTCATGGTACACTCAGGCATGCAGGAGTGTACCATCGATAAGCCAAGAAGCTTGAACAAGCAGAAATAGAGATGGCTACTCGCCCATTCACTTGGCATGTTCTCAACGCGAACCGGCTCAATGTGGTTGATCACAGCAATACAGAAGCGAAGGCATCTGCGGTAACCAGAACAGCAGCAACGTCAACAGAAATCATGCATTGGTCAAAAGCAAAGTAAGCGCATTCATTATCATGACATAAACAGATACCACCAACAGTCACGCATCCATAGACGCGATCAAAACTGCAGCACATCGTTACTTGCTGTAAGACTTCCAGCCGCAGTTGAATGCAGGTCGCTGCAGAGCAAACTCGCCCGTCATCAGATGGCTTTGTTAGTGCTGCGTACATACTACTAGCGATACTATGTGATATTCAGGTTGGATCACGTTACCTTGCGACTCATGCCAAGACTGTCATACATCCTCTTAGCCTTCATCTACACAACATCACTCCCGAAGCAAACTGATGTTGCTGTGTCCGGACCGAGGACGAATCGTTCGGCTTCCAAAGCAAGTGTGTACACGGCGGATCAGATCGGACCTAAGTTTGGCGGAAGCACTTGCAGAAATCGTCGTTGCAGTGGTGCGTCAAATCCGGGAAGCGGTAACGCGGTGTAGATTGCTATCGTCGCAGTACGCATCAGCAGTGGCAGTAGTGTGAGTGGCAGGGACTCTCAAAATTATTTTACTTCGAACATCCCCACCCTAAAGACAAAGCCACTGACTGGTGTTACGGTCGCGGGGTCCCCGTACACGGAACAACACACGAGGGTTCGATTCAGGACAGTCGACGATCCATGTGGTCACACCACTGACCGGCGTTAGGTTTTGGGGTTGGGCACTCCAGGGAGTCTCACGGTCGTCTCCGGGGGTGGTGGGCACTCCAGGCAGTTTCTGGAGGTAGTCTCAGCGGGCGAGGGACGAGGAGCGGGCGGGAGTAACAGCTGACTTTTCAAATCTAACAACCCCACACCGAGGGTCGGGAATAAGGTTAGAGAGTAGGTTAGTGCTTGTACAGAACAGTTGCTGATCCTCCAAGTGGCAGTTGTGGCAGTAGTGGTACTGTAGCAGGATTATTAGTCGTAGTCGTAGTAGTAGTAGTCGTCGTCGTCGTGGTGGTGGTGGTGCTAGCAGCAGCAGTCAGCAGCAGCAGTGGTAGTCGTTATGGTGGAGGTTGTGTTCACATGAGCTGCTTCCACTTGCCCAGCGTGCTTGTTGCCGGCAAGGGTTGCTAACCAACACTCGCTGTGTTTATCGTATGATGGTCAGGCAGATTGCTGTGGCGATGAGTCTTTTCCGTCATTTTCAGCAGTGGCTCTTTGTTGTAGGCAGGGTGTGCGCAGTTACGGTATCATCCGTGCCCAGGGAGATGACGCTTCCCGGAGAGACAGGCAACTGAAGATGACCATCTTCG